GGAGGGGAGGCCTGGAGGTGGGAACGTGAGCAGGAAGAGAGGCAGGAAGGTTGTTCTCAGGGAATACCCTCCGCCAGCCAGGGCAGAGGCTGTGGTGGACCCAAGGGTGGCCAGCGGGCCAGAGCAGAGGGCAGAGGAAGTGAGCACAAGGCCCCACCCTTGGGCAGGCTCCTGACTCTTCCCTCACCCACCCCCAGAGCTGGGGGATCTTCCTCTTGTCCGCCTGGATTTCTCCTGTAACCGTGTCTCCCGCATCCCGGTCTCCTTCTGCCGCCTCAGGCACCTGCAGGTCATTCTGCTGGACAGCAACCCCCTGCAGAGCCCACCGGCTCAGGTGAGGGGTGGGTCTGCTGTAGGCCATGGGGGCGGGGCTGAGAGTGGGTATGAGTTGGGAAGTGAGTCCCTTTAGCAGCCAAGCGGGATCTGGGGGCCCCCCTTCCCTTTCTCTAACCCCTGTCACACACCTCCTTATACCTAGATCTGCCTGAAGGGGAAACTTCACATCTTCAAGTACTTGTCAACAGAGGCGGGGCGGCGTGGGGGGTCTGCACTGGGGGACCTGGCCTCTTCCCGCCCCCCAAGCTTTAGTCCCTGGTAAGTCCCAAGTGGGAAAGAGGGAAGCCCCTGGTACTTATTGCTCCTTTCTGGCAGCACAGACTCCACGGTTTTTGGTGGGAAGATGAGAGGGGTCACTGGCCAGCATTGGACTGACTAGCTCTCTCTGGCTGGCACTAGCCCTGCTGAGGACTTATTTCCCGGACGTCGGTACGATGGTGGGCTAGACTCTGGCTTCCACAGTGTTGACAGTGGCAGCAAAAGGTGGTCTGGAAATGAGGTAAGGGCCTCCTTTCCCTGGGACGTACAGGGAATGTGTCTCCCCCAGGGAGAACATCTGAGTTGGGACCTTTTGCTTGGTGCCTCTGATTATTACAGTGACAGTTGGTATCTGGAGGAGTCTTCCCTTGCCCAAGTATCTGGGGGAAGGGCTGGCTCAGCAGCAGACCCCAAGGGCATGAACCCCATGAACCCCCAGCAACTACAGAGCAACTGTCTCCCATTTTGGCATTTGTATTTATAGTCAACAGATGAATTTTCGGAGTTGTCCTTCCGGATCTCAGAGCTGGCCCGGGAGCCTAGGGGGCCCAAGGAGCGGAGGGAGGATGGCTCTGGTGAGTAGTGGGCTCTGGGGTAATGGATGAGTGCCCCAAGCCCCCAAATGCTTGCTGACATGCCCTGGCCTCTCCAGCTGACGGAGACCCTGAGCAGATTGACTTCATTGACAGCCACATGCCTGGGGAGGAGGAGGAGCGAGGTGCTGCTGAGGTGAGGGTCCAGCCCCTGGCCTCATGCCCTGTGTGTGCCCTGTGTGAGAGAGAGGAGAGTGGAGGGAGGGAAGGAGGGAGTGGTGCTGGCCTGGAGGAAGAGACACTCCCTCAACCCTCTGCTGCTCTTTCCTTAGGAGCATCGGCCACCAGAATTGAGCCCTGCCACAGGGGATGCAGAGAAGGCACCAAGCAGCAGGTACCCCAGAGCTACCTGAGCCAGCACCTTCTCCCTTTGCCCCATCCCCCTGGACACCTCCTCCTCTCCCCTGACTTATGTCTGTCTCCTTCACTGGTCTTACCTCTAACCCTCAGGCGGGAGGAGCCAGCTGGGGAGGAGCGGCGGCGCCCCGACACCTTGCAGTTATGGCAGGAGCGGGAGCGGAGGCAGCAGCAGCAGCAGCAGCACACTGGAGTGTGGGGGGCCTCCAGGAAGGACAGGTGTGGGCACAGGGGTGGCTTGGGTTGGGGCTTCCGCTGGGCAGGGGACCCTGGCCATGAGTGGAAATGAACCCTCTTGAGCTCCTCTGCTCCTCAGGCTTGGTGGGTTCCCTGCCTGTGCTGCTGACTCCACACCTTCTTTGCTTTCTAGTTTTCTGAAGCTGGGGATCAGGGCTGCTGGTGGAGCTGCTGCTGCCTCGTCTGCTCAGGCCTCCTCTAAGTATGTGTCCTCTGAGACTCCAAACTCCCTGAGCTCTGTCCCTACACGCCTCCTCCTGCCCATCCCCTTTAATCCGCTCTCTGTCTGTCCTCAGTGGCATGCCTAAGTCCAGTGCCACCCAACCGGGACCTTCAGGAGGGCAGGGTGCCCCTGCCCCCACCTCTGCCTCCCAGGAGCCCCTCCCTGCAGCTGGACCAGGTGGGACAGGGACTTTGGGAAAAGGATGGGGGACTGTGTAGCTGAGAGGGTGGCTGGGGCCTGGTGGCCTGAGGGAAGAGTGGGACTCTGAGAGGTGTCTTTTCTCACCTGCCCCTGGCTCTGGCCCCCAGCAACAGTGCCTGCGCCCCGGCCACTTGGCTCCATTCAGAGACCAAACAGCTTCCTCTTCCGTTCTTCCTCTCAGAGTAGTTCAGGTGGGTTTCCCCTGTCCCTGGTGCTCATCCAGCACTCACCCCTGTGCCGCGGACATCCCTTCTGGCCTGGGAGTTCTCTGGTCTATTGTCCCTTTGTGTTGGAAAGCCCACAAGCACAAAGGCAGGAGATGTGGGTGCCAGACACTGTGACCCAGCTAGAAAGTCGGCGGCGGGTGGCAGAGACAGCCCACATTCCTCCTCCTTCTCCAGGCCCTTCGTCACCAGACCCTGTCTTGAAACCTCGGCGATCCCCCCAGCTTCTGGATGAGAAGGAGCTGATGGCACAACTACGCCAGGTAAGAGAGGTGGGACCTGCAGGGCTGGGGGTGGGGGTGGGGTGCACTCAGCCTCCTTGAGTTTCCTGGCCTCTCACAGCAGCCCGTAGGTGCTTCCACTGAGGACACAAGGGACAGGCAGGAGTCCCCACTGACCTTAACCTCACCCCCACCCTCCTGGCTCCCAGGTCCTTGAGTCGCGGCTGCAGCGGCCCCTGCCGGAGGACCTGGCAGAGGCTTTGGCCAACGGAGTCATCCTCTGTCAGCTGGCCAACCAGCTGCGGCCCCGCTCCGTGCCCTTCATCCACGTGCCCTCACCTGCTGTGGTCAGTTGGGTCCCAGGGTGAGAGGTAGGGGATGGGGCAGAGGACTGCCGGGGCCTCTCCCTTACTCCCTTCTCTGTTTCCTTTCTCGCCCTCTGCCAGCCAAAACTTAGTACTCTCAAGTCTCGGAAAAATGTGGAGAGTTTCTTAGAAGCCTGCCGAAAAATGGGGGTGCCTGAGGTATGGGGGGGCGTGTTCTCAGGAGCCCAGGGCTGGTCCCTACTCTAAAGAGTAGTGACATCCTGGGCTCGGCTGAGCCCTCTGCATGGATGGGTGGCAGGGTCCCATTCGCAGGGGTGTCTGCTCCCCAGAAGGAAGCACATTTGCAAGTCCCTCTCCTGCACGCCTCCCTGCCCTGCATGCCTCCCTTCCTGGCGCTCTGCATGTTGGCCTGGCCCTGGCCCTGGCACATGAAGGCAGGGGTGGGAAGGGCCGTCTCGCTGCTGACGTCTGCTCTTTGTCTTTGTCCATCATCTGTCCCACTCTCCCTTCCCAGGCTGACCTGTGCTCGCCCTCGGATCTCCTCCAGGGCACTGCCCAGGGGCTGTGGACCACCCTGGAGGCTGTGAAGCGGGTGGGGGGCAGGGCCCCCCCGCCCCTCTGGCCCCCCTCTGGTCTGGGCGGCTTCATCTTCTTCTACGTGGTCCTCATGCTGCTGCTCTATGTCGTCTACACTCGGCTCCTGGGTTCCTAGGACCTGAAGTCACCCTTTCTCCCCGCCCCTCGCCCTATTTCTATTTATAAGACTCCTGTGCCACTCCTGTCCCTACCAGTGGTGCCTTCAGCCCCTACCAAAGACACTAGTGAACCCCCCTCCCCTCACAAACACTGACCTTAGAGGTCCCAGTCTGGTGCCCCAAGACCCCAAGCTCCAGCCTCTGGCCACCCTCCTGTAGCCCGTTCTGAGCCCCTCACCTCTCAATCCTGATGGTGCCTTCATTCCCTCCAGGCCCTGCCCTGCCCTGCCCTCTGTTCCCTCAGGAGGGTAGATCTCAACCTTCCTCCTCGTGCTGTTCCCTGCACCGTCACCCCCACTGTTACGGGGAGCTAAATTATCTATATTTTGTAGAGAGAAGTTTATATTTGTAGGGGATGTAGGGGCCCAGGCTGGGTCCTTGTCTCTGTGTATAAATTGTACAGACCGTGGCCGCCTCTGTGTGTGTGTGCCTGTGTTTGCGTCTGCTCCTGCTGTGGCCAGGCCCTGCCCTGGCGGGGGGGGGGGGGGCGGGCGGGCAGGGCTCTGTTTGTCAGCCCGCCTTATTGGAGCATTTCCCTCTGGAAATGACAGGTCCCTCCTCCCTCTGAGCCTTGGCCCCCTGTGTCATCTCCCTTCTGTTACCTGCTGGCAGCTTCCTTGCAACTTGTTTGTTCCCAAGCCATGTCCGCGGTGCCCCTGGCCTTTGCGGCCTTCACCTGGAAGGGCCATCCTGTCAGCCCCGTTTGCCCAGGCTTCTTTAGGCTCTCTCCACCCTGTCCTCTGACAAGGGCAGGGAAGCCAGAGAACCAGCTGGCAAGGGGAACTTAACTGGGCCCCTCCCCCCAGGAGTCCCTGTGCCAGCCCCACCACATCCTGGAAGAGGAGGGGGCCCCGGGAAGGGGCCTCCCCTACATCGCTGCTGTCATCCACGCCCTACTGGAACGGCCATAGGGGTCGAGGTAGGGCCGCAGGGCCCCCACCCGGCCGGGAACACAGAACAGAGAAGACAGCTGCTCTCTAGCAAGGACTCTGGTGAGGGCGGCCTCGGGCCTGGCCCTGTTCCTTGGGTGCCTCTCAGCCCGCCCGAGGGGTTGGAAGCGGACGGGCGCAGCGAGGCGCCCGGCTGCCTCTGGGTGCGGCCGAGGGTCTGGGATACAAGCCGGGCACCGGATGTTGTGTCAAGTGCAATAAAGAAGCCAGGCCCTCCAGGTCGCCCTCGGGTGTGCGTGTGCTTGTGTCCGTCTGCGAACAAATGCGGCGCGTCCCGGGGAAGTAGGGGCCTCCGCGTCCGCGCCGCTGTTCGGTAGCTCCCCGCGCGGGGAGCCGCTCTGGCGTGTGGGGCGGCGGGCAGCGCTGGCCCCGCCACCCCCGCCACCAGGGGGCGCCCGCGGGATCCCGGCGGGAGCGCGCGCCACGTGGCCCGGAAACGCGCTGGGCGCCGGCGTGGTGGCGAGGCCCTGCGAGGTGGGCCGGCGACCTGGGCTGGCGGATGGCTGCGGGAGGTGGGGGCCGCGTGGGGTCCCCGGAGGGCGAGGTGGGCGGCGCGGGCGGGGCGGACGCCGGCACAGAGCTGCTGCCCCGCGCTGCCCTCCCCCCCAGACGCGGCATGTTGCCCGGGCCGCCTCGGCGCTGGGACGCGGGCAGAGAGGCGCCGGAGGAACGGGGCCCCTCGGCGGGCAGTGACTCCGGCGAGGCCTGGACCTCTGGAGAGGAAGCCCTGGGGGAGCCAGGAACATCCCCACAGGACAGGTGAGGGGTTCCGCCGCGGGGAAGTCCAACAGGGGGCCCACCGCGTGAGGTGAAATCTCAGTCGCCCACACTGAGGACCGGGTGTGCTCAGGCTCCCTGCCCCAGGCGCCCTTGGACGGGCCTCAGAAATATCGGGGGAGGCTGTGACGGGGGCCCCTAAGTACCTCCCCCTCCCAGCCCGCAGCCCTGGTCACGAAGGCCTTCCTGGACCCAGAGAGAGCAGCTGCTGGCCCGGTCCCCACCAGGCCTGGCTGCTGAGCACTCCCCGGGAACCCCAGGTAGGCCCTGGCCTTGCTGTCTTTACCGCCCCCCCCCCTTCCACCCACTCCTGAGCCTGTTTTAATCTCTTCAAATACCGCCCTGCCCCAGTTGCCCTTTCCCCCCAGATGGCCTGGGAGGTGGCCCCCTCAAGGATGACTGTGTTAGCACCGTGGGACCTCAACTACAAGGCCAAAGCAGGGCCACAGATGGTGTGGGTGAGTTGGGAGTACCTCTGGCTCTGGCCTTGGGAGGGGGCGGGGTGCCCCGGAGGGGACCAAAGCTCCAGTGATCTTTCCTGCCCCCTCCACAGGGACCTAGCTGTGCTTCTGGTGCCTCCTTCTCAAGCCGGACCTTGTGTCATCCCTCATTTTGGCCGCTGTACGAGGCAGCCTCAGGCCGGGACCTCAGACCCCTGGCCCCAGCAGCAGGATGTCAGAATGGAGAGCAGGCACCCAGGGATGCAGGTACTCTGGCCCCCCAGGCTCTGGAGGTGCCCTGCATGAGCTGGTCAGGGAACTGGTGCAGCCATCACTGGTGTGGGAACCCCAGCCGGCTGCCCTACCAGTTTTTCCTTCCCAGGGTTCCCAGTGATGTGCCATGAAGATGTCTTTCTGTCAGATCCGCTGCTTCCCTGTGGGCAGCGTGTCCCCCTGTACCTGTCGGAGGCCTCTCAGCAGGTGAGTGCAGTTGCTGCCCTGGCCTCACCCTAGTCTTTCTGCAGGGCTTGGGAGGAGACACTTCTCCCTCCTCTCTCCTCAGGTCATGGGCTCTCTGAAGCTGCTGCTTCCACCTCCTATCATGTCTCCCTGGGTGCTCCACACACCATCCCCGGGCTGCTCCACTGCCTGGCTCAGTGGGCCTGAGCTGATCGCCCTTACAGGCCTCCTGCAGATGAGCCAGGGGCCTCCTAGACCTGCCTCCTCCGGGGCTCCCACGTCCCCTGTTGGCCCCCCAGGCCCTGTACCTGTCCACCCAGGCCCCAGTGGTGGCCCGAACTCTTCTCACTGCACTGACCCATCTGTTCCATGAACCCCAGACACCTCATTGAACACAGCCCTTTTGGGGGTAGAGTGGGTCCCCTTCTCCCCTGGGCAGGTTCTCTTGACAATAAAAGTGTTGGTTTGCAAACAGGCTCCTTGTAGTGAATGAGTAGCAGAGTGGGGCATGGAGACAGGATGGGGTCTCTTCCTCGTGGCTCAGACTGTCCCCCCGCTCAAATTCTTGTTACTCACTGGTCACCCCTACAGTGGGGCAGGGGAATCCGTGGACCTAAGACCTTTCCAGGCTGACCAAGCACGGCCACTTTAATAGGGCATGGGCTGTGGGGGTCCACAGTACAGTATTACAGAAGATAAGTATATGGAAGCAAGAGGTGCATCAGCTCCACCAGGCTCCAGAGAAGGGAGGATTGTGTGAACACGTGGCTGGCACTGGAAGAGGGAAATGAGGGAGTAAGGGAGTGGCATAGCACTTTAGAGAAGCAGTAGAGGTAAGATACCTGGTACCTCTTGCTCTAGGGCCCTAGGAACTCAGTCCTGGTGTGGGGGATTGGTTCTTTGGCTGGGAGGAGACAGAAGGCAGGCCCTGCAGGTGTGGGGTGGGGAGGAGCAGGTCCATGTGGAAGTCATTGGAGGCAAAGTGGGGAGAGCCAAAGCTGACCTGAGATCTGGAATGATGCTGCAGGAAGGCTGCCAGGAAAGAAAGGATTGGGGCTTTGGCTGAGAAAGCCTGGAGTTCGTAGGGGTTTGTGGGTGGGAATGGGGGGTGGTTCTAGAATTTTCTCCCTTAAAAGAATCCCAACTCTTGGGGAGCCTTTTCCTGAGGATTTCCTATACCACATCTGGAAGGGGTGGAGGGGGCAGCAGGCCCTAAGGGGCAGCTCAAAGCTTCTGCAAGTTGTAGGTGCTAGGGGGCCTGAGAGCCCCTCTATTTTGGGATCCAGTGGGGGAGTTGAGGGGAGCAGGCAGGAAAGTATTCCTAAATTTGGCCTGTTTTCTCTCCCCTCCCCATCCATTCCTAGCTAGACAGGGCGCGGCTGCCTGTCTCCTTACGGGAGCCTCTGAGGTTCAGGGAAGCCGATGCGCGCATAGCAGTGCCAGTGGTGTGTGCCAGACCCAGGGGCGTCGCCTCGAGCCTCCAGTGGAGGGACCAGGTCCAGGTCTACATAGTTGAGGCGGCTGTTGGGGGGGGCCTGGTATGGCAGTGCCCATTCCTAAGTAGTCCGGGGCCACCTAATTGATGCACATGTACTCCCCTACGAGCTCTGAGGGCAGCTGCAGGTGGGGATGAACCCCTCCCAGTCCCTAATGTTCCCGACCCTGCGACAGGGGCCTTGGAACAAAGGTCCCAGCTCCCCGGCCCTGGGCTAATAGAAACCGGGCAGGGCACTCAGGGACAAAGGCCCTGGCGGAAAGCGGCTCATGGGTATGAATTCAGTGCCCCTGCAACTCTGGAGTGGCTTGTGGGGAGCAGCCGTAAGGCCTGGGGGCACAGTCACCATGTAGCCACTAGTTTCGCCACCCCCCATGGGCTCATAATCGCTCCCGGCCGCGTTCCAGGTCCTCGGGGCGCTGGGCTGCGGGGCTGCTTTCCCGCCCTTCTCACGCAGGCCCCCGCCATGGCTCAGGCCGCTTGACTGGGCTGCCGAGGCCAGGGTCGCATGAGGTTGGGAGACGCCGGGTGTGCAGGCGCTGGTCGGCGGATCCCTGGGCAGTGGCTCAGCCCTGCCACCCGCACCGCCATCCCCGAGGCACCTCATGGCGGCCAGTACAGTCTCATGAAGGCTTTGGGCCCCCACGCCGGCGTCGGGCGCCTGTAGCCACAGCTCCCCGGGACCTGCGGGCACCGAGCGGCCGAGCTCCAGGAAGAAGAGAGTCTGCTTGGCCGCAGCGGCGCACGCTGAACGGGGACAGGCGAAGGGCCGGTGGCAGCGAAGCCTGAGTGTCCCCAGAGCCTCTGCCCTTGGGCTTCCGCAGCAAGGCCGTAGCCACCGCTGCCCAGGCCTCGTGTCCGCCCCAGTCCCTTGGGTCGCAGCGTCACGGGCCAGACGTCCTGAAAGGGAGCAAGGATCCAGGCGCCGGGGTCCTCGAGGAAGCTGACACCCATAGAGACGGGGGGCGGGTCACAGGGGGCTCCTGGGCCGGGGGTGGGGTGTGGGCCTTGGAGTCACTGTGCCCTGAGAACTAAAGACCTGAACACGCTTCATGTTTGGACTTGATTTCGGGGACTTATGGGGAGGGACAACCCACAATAAACACCGGCACCGTCCGGGCCCCTGGCCCTCAGCCCCGGCTCCGCCCGCCCTGGGGCTCGGGCCTCACCGGCGGGGCGGAGGCGCGGGCCAGGAGCAGGGCGCTGTACGCCCGCTGCTCCGCCTCGCAGGCCGCCGCCACGCCCAGGCTGCGGTCGCGCGGGACAGGACGATCAGGTGGCCGTGGCGCGCGTCCACGCGCTGGCTGATGGTGCACGCGCCCGCCAGGTTCCCGCGGAACTTCTCGCCGCCGTAGCACTGGAGGCGCGGCGGGCCGCGCGGCGCACGAAGAAGCGGCAGTGCTGAGACTTCTGCTTCCGCAGGGGGCCGCAGAGCCGCGCGTCAGCCCGACAAGCCCGGGGCCGTGGCAGAAGCAGGGGCACGTCCGCCGGCTCGGAGTCCGGGGCTGCCGTGGGGCCGCCATCTTCGGGCTTCATGCCAGGCCAAAGGCAATAGAGTGGCCGGAGTAGGGGCTGAGACTCAGCAGAGGCGGGGTGGCGGTGGCGGTCTCTGGAGACGGGGGGCAGCGTCCTCACAGGTTGTCACCCGTCTTGATGCCCAGCGTCTTGCACCGGACTTGAGGTTTGGGGCACAGGGTCTGCGGTGGCCCCTCGTTGCACGCAGCGTGTGCCCCACTGGCTGTCCGGTGGCCTGCGCCACGCTGGGCTCCAGCGGCCTCCTCCGAGGCTCGACCCTGCCTCCTGCCCCCTCCCTCCCTCTGCCGGCAGCTCCGGAGTCCCCACCCCGGTGAGGTTAACCCTCGCGCGCCCCGGGCGCTGGACGCCAGGCCGTGGGAGCGAAGTCTGGTGGGGAAGTCTGGGAGAGGCGGCCTCCTGCCCACCCCACCACCCTCGGGCTGGTGGCAGGAGCCGGGAGCGTGTGGGCGTCTTCACGGATCTGAGCTGACCGCTAAGTAAGCGGCTGAGGCCAAAGTGAGTGGAACTGCGTCGGGAGACCACGGCGCTGGCGGCGCAGGGTCCGCAGACCTGGCGATTGGGGAAGGCGCTTACAGCTGCAGCGACGCCTTGTGCTGCCGCCACTCCCAGCTCTTCCAGCTCAGGCTCCGGGCGTCTGGCACCTGTGTCCCCCCTTCCCACCCGGGAATGGTTCTATACTCCTCCTTCCCAAGTCAAAATAGTTGCCAGGGCCACCAAACATTGGGCTGTGCTGATTTCAGAGCTCGAGGTTCAACAGATTCTCTCTGGTTTAGGGTGATAGGAGGTGTCTTCAGATAAGTTCATTTTCCCATTGGTCCCTGTCCCTGGACCATGCCACCAGAATTCCAGTCAAGGGGCCACTGAAAGAGAACCTGTGAAAGAAATCATCCCTCAGGGGCACTCCTCCCTTGCTACCTTCAGTCCCTTCTCATCACCACTGTCAAAGATGCCACATGGGCCAGCTGAAGACTCTGATTAGAGGTGTGGACTTCCTGGTGGAGGTAACCCTTGCTTCTTACATCCTAAGAGGTTTGAGATGAGTTTGGGATTCAGACATTTCACACCCTACTTCTAATCCTTTCAAGGACCACAGAGTTCTGCTAGGGGTGATGGTGCTGGTCACCACACACTCTGCAAGACACACCAGGAGTTGACACATGGGTTGGAGCCTTAGAGGACCTTGTGCTATCACTCTCGTGACCAGTTAGATAGATAAAGGGTGGGAGGAGTCAAGGTTTGAGGAGGGATAGTGGACAACCGAAGCCCCTGTTAAAGATGGTGTATGGGGAGGAGGATATATAACAAGAGTACTGAAGCCAAGGGAGGCCATTGCCTGTCTCAGACTAGTCCAAAAGCTGGATCCTCAAACATCTTTTCAAGGGTCATGTTGAGAGTGAGATGCATAGAACCAACCAGCATGGTGAGTATGGGAGTCTGGCTAGCAAGCAGGGGGTTCCTCAGGTGCATCTGGGTCGGCCATAGTTCCCCAAGATGCAGGGGAGGTGCTGACTTGCGTTCATGTGTGCACTGGGGCCAGCGGCACCACCGCTGTTGGTGGGTATTGGCTAGGGAGAGGCAGGTATGTGATAGATCCATCAGTGGCCACCAAAACAGAAGTACATTCAAGGCCACTGCCTCCAGTGTGGTCTTGACAGACCTACCTTATGCAAAGTAGCAAGGATACAAAAGAGATCTGCAGGCCCAACCCCTTGCCCAGGTATGGTGCTGCTTGGAGGAACATGGGAGCATCCACAGGGCCTCCCACCTGCTGTGTTCCTGGTCTGGAGCCTTCCTCTCCAGGCTGGATTTGAAGCTATCCGCAGGAGGGCCTCTTCATTCCTCCTCTTTCTCACTCCCCATCAGCTGGGCCACTGTGCAGCCCCCAGTCCTTGGTAAAATCACGGCTGCATCACAGAGTCCAGCTCCAGGCCCCCTTGTGTTGCTGAGCGCATAAGTGCTGGGTACGGTGGAGCAGGAAGCAGCAGCGGGGAGAACCTGGGTTCTGGGCAGTCAGTACCAGGTGCTTTAGCATGCTGGGTACCAGGAAAATCCTGGAGCCAAACAACTGGCCTAATCAGCTGCCCGAGCAACAGCACTGCCCTTGGCCCTGCTCAGACAAGATTTGTTTTAGCCTGTTGCCCTGGTAACTGCAGTTGCTCAGGGCAGAACCCCAGCTCTGCTGGGTGAGAACACTTCCCCACCCTTGGGGGTCTACCTGTGCCTCCCTCTGCCGGTTGCCGGGTAGCTGGGCCATGGAGCTCCACATTCCCAAGCCCAGGAGAATCTTGTCACCAGTGGCAGGAGGCTACAGGGAGGATACTGTGGGCACTAAGGCTGAGCTGTGGCTGTCGCCCTCCCTTCCCTAGCTGGAGTTCTCCTCACTGGGGGGGTGGGGGTGCAGGGGCAGACGCCATCTCCTTCCCCCACCAGGGCTCCCAGACTCC